ATCTAGGTCTCCAGACACCCTTTCTCCCCCCTCCCCCCTGTTGGACTTCACTGATCACATGGAAGACCTGGTTAGACTCCTATTCTCCCATTTTACTCCCCGCACCTTCCCGCGCTCCACTCCCATTTTCTCCACCCTAAACCCCCCTCACTGTCCACCTCCACCGCTGGTTCTAAGTCCTCCAAGTTTGACACACGTGTCACAAATACAGCGCACAACCCGCCTTCCCGCTCCGCAATGGCGAAAAAGCTCTGTCTGATATGTGCCTAGTCCTGGCTACAAGGAAAATAGCACTCATGACTCTTCCCAGGACAAGCCGGGGCCCAGTGTGCTGGTAGTCTTCTCCATCCCTGTCTTGATTGGTAACAGAAAAAGCATGGTGAATGTGTTAAAAAAACAGGAAGCACTCAACATATCCTGCAAGTTTAGTATTAATTCGTCAGCCGCAGCCTGTCGAAAAAAGTGGGCCAGATAAAGTTTTTAACACACTAAAATTAGCTTTGTTAAACATTAGGTCTTTGGCAGGAAAAACATTTACAAATCAATGATTTTATAATCACTCACAATCTTAATTTCATGTTTTTAACTGAAACTTGGTAACCAAGATAACAGTGCAGCTGTCCTTATCGAGTCTACCCCTCCCAACTTCCGTTTTATGAGTGAAGCTAGAGTGCATATGAGAGGAGGTGGTGTTGCCATTTTGTTTAATGACTCCCTCCAATGCAAAAAGATGTCTTATGGGAATTTTGCTTCTTTTGAATATGTGGCTCTTCAGCTGAATTCCTCTTCTCGAGCTATTTTTCTAAATATCTACAGGCCCCCTAAATACTGTGGAAACTTTTTTGATGACTTTGGTGAACTGCTGTCTATAATCTTTATTGACTTTGACTGTGTAGCTATTGTTGGTGATTTTAACATCCATGTTGACAACCCGCAGGACAGAGGGACTAAAGAACTGTGTTGTGTTCTTGATAATTATGGACCGACTCAACATGTGATAAAGCCCACGCACAATAAGGGGCACACTTTGGACTTGGTCATCTCCAAGGGTCTGGACATTTCCAAGGTTGTGGTGACTGATGTTGCTCTCTCTGATCATTCCTGTGTTTTCTTTGAGAGTGCTATCTGCGTGCACACAAATGCTTTCTCCTCAACACCCGTCCTCTCACGGGTCTCAGTCAATGAGCTTGTAGATAATTTCAGTTCTAAAATTACAAATGTTATTGATGCCATTGCACCAGCCAAGGTGAAGGTGGTCTCTGGTAAGAGAAGATCTCCATGGAGAAATGCCACGCTGGATAGAACTCAAAAAAGAGAGTGTCGAAAAGCTGAACGCAGGTGGCGGAAAACAAATCTCCAGGTCCATTATGACATCTATAAAGACAGACTTCGCATTTATAATTTAGAACTGAGAAATGCAAGGCGGCCCTTCTTCTCTGACATCATCACCAAAAACACTAATAATGCACATGCCCTGTTTTCTACTGTGGACAGGCTAACCAACCCTCCTGTGTCTGTAGACTCTGACCTTCTATCCACCAGGCCCTGCAATGAATCTGCCTCCTTCTTCACAGACAAAATTCAAACAATTAGACAAGCAATCAGTGCCTCCATGTCAGTAACAGGATATGTCTTGTCCCTGTGTCCACTTAAAAACAATTCATATAGCATGAGACAATTTGATTCTATTAACCATAAAATCCTGGAGGACATAATACAACATCTGAAATCCTCCTCATGCTGCCTTGATATTTTGCCAACAGGTTTTTTCAAAATGACATGGCCTCAGATTACTACAAATTGTCAACATGTCTCTTCTCTCAGGTTTTTTCCCCACAGGCCCTGAAAACTGCAGTCATTAAGCCACTATTAAAAAAGAGCAGGCAGGTCACTAATGAGCAATTATAGGCCCATATCATATCTCCCATTTTTAAGTAAAATCATTGAAAAAGCTGTTTTTCAACAGCTTAGTGCTTTCTTGACACTAAATAACTGATTTGATGTCTTCCAGTCAGGTTTTCAACCACACCACAGCACTGAGAAAAGCTCTTGTTAAGGTCTTCAATGACATCCATTTAAACACTGACAGTGGGAGAATTTCAGTCTTTGGATCTCAGTGCTGCATTCGACATGGTCGACCACAACATATTACTAGACAGACTTGAAAACTGGGTTGGACTTTCGGGCACAGTACTAAACTGGTTTGAATCCTACTTAAAGGACAGTGACTACTTTGTGTCTATAGGTAATCAAACATCTGAGCTAACAAAAATGACATGTGGAGTTCCCCAAGGCTCCATTCTGGGTCTTCTTTTGTTTAACATTTACATGCTTCCACTGGCTCAGATTATGAAAAACAAAAAAATATGTTACCATAATTATGCAGATGACACACAGATTTACATAACCATTTCACCAGGGGACTATGATCCCATATAGGCGCTGAGTAACTGTATTGAGCAGGTCAACGATTGGATGTGCCAGAATTTTCTTCAATTAAACAAAGATAAAACTGAAGTTATTGTTTTTGGAGCCAGGGAGGAACGACTGAAAGTCAGTGCTCGACTTCAATCTGTAATGTTAAGAACCACAAATCAAGCCAGAAATCTTGGTGTAGTCATAGACTCAGACCTGAATTTGAGGAGCCACATTAAGACAATTACAAAGTCAGCATATTATCACCTGAAGAATATATCAAGGATTAAAGGACTTATGTCTCAGCAAGACCTGGAAAAGCTTATCCATGCATTTATCTTCAGTCGACTTGACTACTGTACAGTTCCTTACAGGGCTCCCTAAGAAATCCATCAGACAGCTGCAGCTGATTCAGAACGCTGCTGCTCGAGTCCTCACTAAGACCAAAAAGGTGGATCACATCACTCCAGTTCTGAGGTCTTTACTTTGGCTTCCTGTATGTCAAAGAATTGATTTCAAATCCCGCTGTTGTTTATAAAGCACTAAATGGTTTAGGGCCAAAATACATTTCTGATCTTCTGCTTTGTTCTTCTGAACCATCCAGACCTCTCAGGTCGTCTGGGGCAGGTCTGCTTTCTGTCCCCAGAAACTAAACAAGGAGAAGCAGCGTTCAGTTATTATGCTCCGTATATCTGGAACAAACTCCCAGATAACTGCAGGTCTGCTGAAACAGTCAGCTCTTTTAAATTAAGACTCAAGACTTTTCTTTTTACCATTGCTTTTAATTAAATATTTAAGATTTTAAGATTGATAACTTACACTGCACTGTAACTTTTACTGTCCTGTCTTCTTTTTCTTTATTTTTAGCTTTTTACCATTGCTTTTAATTAAATATTTACACAGTGAGAAATGAGTAGGTAATTGAGTGAAAAGACTGTGGGAATGAGATTGAACAGAGTGAAGGAAGTGGTCTTAAATCTCGTGGCCGAGTGATTTGCAGGAACCTCTGTCGACCTGTAAACGCGCAGGTGGGTCTAGAGTATAACTGGATCAAAGTGGCCTGCGGACAGACATGTCCTGGTTTCTCTACAGTGTCCGACAGTTTTTGGAGTTTCAGTGGACCCAAAGATTGCTATGGACCGGAGTACAGACTAGCTAGAGAGAGTAGATTAAGTGTACTTCTCTGTTTATTCTCTTTTCAGATTAATTGTAACTCAATTATTTGCTCAACCCCTCCGCCTATTTTTATTTTCCATTTAACTCTTTTAACCCTGATTGTAACACTGTAACTTTTATTATATTTTATGTTGCTTTTAAACTTTTTTATATTTCCCTGTTGCTTTTATGTTTTATGTAAAGCACAGTGGCGGTTCTAGACCAATTTTATTGAGGGGTCCAGGCTGGGGCCAGTTGTTTTGTCAGAGGGGCACATTCATCCGGGACAAAAGAGGCAAAGTTCTTTCAAAATGTCCTTTTTAGTATATAATGTAATATTTTCGTTACAGTTACTTATAGTTATTTGTTTGAGTAACAGGATCTTTTCAGTAATTTAGTTACAGTTTTATTAAATGATAATAAAAAAAAATATTCCTGTTAACTTTAACTCAAGTTACAGTAAAGGCTAAATGCAACACTTCTTTGCAAGGCTTAATGAACAATATAAGCTCATTCTCTGGATCCCAGTTTGTATTTTTCCTTTCTAGAATCTCCATTACAGCAACAGTATTCTTCGGTTTTTGTGATTTTTGAAGTCTTTGCCCTCCTAGACTCAATACTTAGCACACCCAAATTACTCAATCTTTCATCAGTTATGGTGGACCTGAGATAAGTTTTCACCAGGTTCAGCGTAGAAAAGCTCTGCAAAATAGCAGTTGCAATCCCAGTAAGTAATGCTTCTTGTGAGCAGAGTCTGAAGAGCTCCAAAAACACATCTTTATATGGCTCAATGAGCAGTACCAGCTATACTGTAGTAGAGGGTCTCTGAATCCCACTCTGTATTTTCCTCTTTAAAATAGAACTGACCTGATGTAGTTCATGGCCAAAGTCATCAAGATTTGAATATTATAATCGAGCAAATGAAAACAGAGCTGTCTCTTTCAAAAATGCATCACTTTTGGGGTTTAGAGCTTGGATGCAATTCATTATGTCACAGTTTGTCTTTGAAAACCGTCTGTTAAGCTCATCAAACCTGTCTTTATCTGGTTCTGACTCTCTCTGACCAACAGTAGTCAGTACACTGTGTTTACTGAGTTTAGTGCTTAGCTTTTTTTTTGCAGCTTGCTGTGTTGAAGTATCACATTGCTCAGAAATGTTCATCACTTCATCCCACAAGTTATCAAAAAATGACTCCTGCCTGAAGTCATTTAATGTCTGGACTAAAGCTTCAACTAAATCCACAGCTTTTGACAAATCAAGTGATGAAGACTGTAGCATATCAGAGAATTTTTGTTTCTCCAAACCCTTTGCGGAGTGTAACAAGATGCACAATGAATTCAAGATCTATTTGTGCTAGCAGACCTCGAGCCTCAATAGATCTTTAACTATGCCGCTCTAGGGCTATCTCTTGCAGTACTCGCTTGAGGGCAGGCAGTCTAACACATGTAGTTTTATTATATAGTTTTTCTTGTATTCTAGTTTGTGTCTTTCCAAAATGTGGATTATTTTTTCAGTAAGCCCTTCTGCATCTAGCTTCTCAGCAGATTCAAAATGAAGAAAACTCTCCTTGATAGCTCCATTAAAATAGTACGTGAGTACTAATGAAATCTGTTATTGTTTTTTTACATCTTTTGTTTCATCTGCCATGATGCTGAAGACTTCACTGTTTTTCACTTCTTGTGTAATTTCAGTTCGAACCATTTCTGCCAGACAATTAAGAACCTCATTCTGAATGATTTTGCTTGTGTACTTTGCATTAGACAACCTTTTCTTAACAACTTTGTCATGGTTTGCAACAGTCTCTAGAATTGCCATGAAGTTCCCTTTATTATCAGAGTCTGCAGACTCATTGTGTCCTCTTTAAGCAATGTTTTGTCTTGCTGTCAGTAGGAGCACTTCTCCTATTGCTTTTATATATTCTCGATATTTCTTTAACCAGTTTGTTATGTTCCTTATTTAGGACATTTGCCAAAGTTGCATTAGTTGTCGCCGCTCTCTGATAGTCCCTCCATGTGATCATTGCTTGTTTGTGCCGCTCAGACTTTGCATGGATAGCAACCCCCCCTCTCTGTAGGTTGCCTTCTTCCAGTTTTTGAATCCAGAGGGTGAGTCAAATACTGTTTCTGCACTTATCGGCGGAGAATATGCAGAGTCCGATAGTTTTGAATATTCAAGCCATGGGTGAATATTCCAGGCTACTTTGAAGCTCCTCCGCCTGTCCCCCATCAAGGTTCTTGGAAACAGTTTCAAGTTTGGCTGCATTGGTGGGTCTTCTTTACATTTGTTAATATCTGTGAAGACAATCCAAAAACAAAAATGCTTTATAAATATTTATATAAAAATGCACATACTTTAGCAATCATGAAACATCAATAGGGTATCTAAATTAAAAGATCAATGCCATGAGGAAGAAAAAGCATTCAAATAAGTGTTTAACATCACATACCTGGTGGTACAGAGCTTGTGGGTGCATACGATGTATCCTCTGTCTGTGTCTCACACTCTGCTTGTATGTCACCCTCAGCCTCACTTTCTGGCTCCTCAGTGGTCTCTCCTTCCTGCTCTGTGCCCTCACTTTGAAAACGAGTCTCTCCACCTAACATGTCCTCTGGCTTTCTCTGTGTGGCACTCTCCACATGCTGCTGTTTCTCTGTAGCTCTCTCAACACCTGGCCCACCTGGCTCTGCCTCGTTGTCTGCCTCATCATTGTGGACTTAATGTATAGGACATAATGTCCCGTTTTCTCTTCATTTTGATGATAACTAACTATAGAAAAAAAAACAGTGGAGAGAAATGAAACCCAGAACAGCGATTATATTAACGTTACTGTTGCTGGTTTGCTTAACGTTATATTCATTTGTGTTATGAGAGCCTTTGAGCTTACACTTCACAACTATATATTCACGGCAAAACCGATTAAAATGTATAGCATCAACGCATGCTTGAACCATTCATGGAGAGATATTTTCTTGCAAACACTAACGTTAACATTATCGTAAAGCTTAAGTAATGTTACAACAAGTAAGTTAACATTATTAACACAAGCAAACGGTTAGCATTATCTGTGTACACTACCTTGTAACAATTACACGAATAAAATAGCTTTGCTCACCGTCAATTCTTCGTGGTAGTCTCGTAACGATAGTCTTCCTTGCTTGCTTCTGAGCAGAGCTGATGGGGTTGTTTGTTGCCTGCTTTCTTTCGTGCTTTTTAGTTGTGCATTCCATATACGTTGAAGCACACAGCCGAGCATCCAGACAGTGCCGGTGTAACATCCAAAAGGATCCGACTAGTTGAGACACATTTGTTCCACCTTTCACATCAGCGTCATATTGTTGCACGGAAGATATATTACTATGATTATTGTAGACCTTTCGTTCAGAGGGGGGGCCACATGGGGGTCCAGGATCTGTGTTACAGGGGCACTGGCCCCTGTTGCCCCCCCCCCAAAACCGCCACAGGTAAAGCACTTTGAAGCATCGGAACTGCAAAGTCTCATCTTCCAACCTGATAGCCTATTTAGATTTTTTCCCAATAAATATATTTGTTTGACAGGGAATAAAAATGGAATAAATATACTGTATATTCATCTATTTAAAAAACACACAAAAAAACAAGCATCCCAGAAAAAAGGGCTCTTTCTCTTGAGGAAGAAAAAGGGCAGGTGCTGAAGCCCCTTTTGATGTCTATGTTTGCACCTGCCTGGTTTTCGTTACCAGTATCAGGTGACCTAACAGGTCCTGTGCCCTCATCACAGTTTGCAATAACCGCATCAACTGTATCTCCCCAAAATAGTAATGTTCTCATACCATCATCTTCTTGCTCTAAGAGTGACTGGCTATTCATGTAGGCAGAAATGAACTCAACATAGCTCTCTTCGTCATCTTTACTTAGCTTAGATGAGTCAAGTCCCGCGACTGGGTGGATGTGGGTCGCGACCTCATAGGCCCCTTCAGCAGTTAGAAGGTGCAGTCTCTTCCTCTCCTTGTCAGCCATGATGCACGTAGCAGGTGCCCAAGGTCAACAGTCTCGCACTCTCCAGGCTCTGGTCCCCCTCTTCCCGGTCACCTTGCCTCGTCAGCCGCACTGTCAACCTCCACTCAAAGCACATGCAGTCACGCTGGCCCAGGATTCCTGGATCAGCAATACTCAGATCAATCCTGGACGAGCCCCCAAAGCTGTTACACACCCCCAGGCGTGGGGTCAGATGCAGCAGTTGAATATCCTGTTAGAAGGATGAAAGTGTTAATAGTAACCAGCGAGGCGGATGCAGTGTGTTACGTTGGCTTCTTCTCTCAGTAGACTGAGAACCTTTCAGAAGGCCACAGGACAAAACGCGTCGCCCTTGAGGCTGCCCCCCCTGCTGGTGGGAATGAGTAGCAACGCCCAAAACCGCCAAACCTTAACATGAGAATTTATAGGAACTCTAAAGGGAATAATACATAATAAATCAATATAAATGTGAACACACGTTTAGTGGGTGTCACAATAAAATAGTGGAATTTCTGTGGGTTCTTGGCAGCTATAATTTGATTAAATAAATTTGTATCCGTTTAAAGTCTCACTGGCAGGATCTGACTGTTGCTGACTCATTTAAAGAAATCAAGCCCAGGAGCTGGTGCATGATTGGAAGTACAGGTGTGAATGTAAATGCTCTGTATTTGTATAGCACCTTTCTAGTCTTTTCGACCACTCAAAGCGCTTTTACACTACATCTGCATTCTCCATTCACACGCTGAGCCTAAGTGCTCAAATAGAAACTAACATTCACACACATTCATACACCGGTGGAACAGCCACCAGGGGCAATTCGGGGTTTAGTATCTTGCCCAAGGACACTTCGACATGCAGCCTGGAGGTGGCAGGGATTTAAAATTAACGGGCAACACAATTAACAGGCAACACTTTACACTTTGTATTTGGAAATAAATAGAAATACAGCATAGTCAAAACAAACAAACAAGCATCACACATAAAGGAAAAGGACTAAGCCAGGTTACATGTGACATTTACATTTCTCATTTACATGGCATTTTAACATGGCTTTAAATTCATTTAATGGGACTAGATCATTTTGATGTAGCAAGTTTTGTTATTTGTTGTTATTGTTAGTTATTCCAAGACCAGGGAGCAAAGTAACAGAAGGCCCCCCCCCCCCAGCTCAGTAAAAACCCTTGTAACCTGGTAAGAGAGCCACCTGGTGGAACGGAGATGAAAACTGCTGGAACTCTGCTTCAGGAGATTTGAAAAAATGCTGGCAGTTTACCCAGCATGACCTTGTATAGAAAGATATGCAAATGAAGATGTCTACATAGACTTAGTGACGGCCAGCCTGCCAGTTCATAAAGCGTACAATGATGAGTACGGGAATCAGAGTTTTTTAAAAAGCGCAGAACACTATGGTACACAGGATCTAAAAGGCGGAGGGGCGGCCTGCATCACCATTGTCCAAAACACTTTAAAAGGTAACCTGCACAAGTTTTTCTCTGGCTATCATGCCTTATTCCAGAAGTAAAAACCCAACCTTAGTTTCAGCTAGGTAGTCTGAGTGTTTTTCCACATGCTACTGCCTGTAAATTAAAGGACAGCAGATCCATTTGAAGTAACAGCATAAACTTTTTTATTATTATTTTCAAGCAAAAAAGAAGAACCCTAACCCTAACCACAGTGGTGGAAATTTTGGGGAAACAACATCCACTGCTGGCACTTACAATAAAGTAAATAATATTATACTATAAAGCTTACCACTGGTATAATATTAAGTCCAGTTGGACAGTTTCATTTCTGTAGTTGTTTTCATTCATTAAATCCTTGCGTAAGAAAAATGATCCATGGTGGTCAGTCTCTAATTAGTTAATGCGAAGACCTAATTCAGTAATACTCATTCATGCAGAACAAGAAGTTCAACATTTCAAATGTTTGCTGTAGCACCTCAACCTTTTTTAATGTCCTGCCCTATCCCAGCTGTGATTGGTCAATTCACAGAAAGTTACTTTGACGAGCAAATTCATGCACACAGCTGCATGAAAGCTTCCCCCTGTTCTGTCTCTGCCGACAGACATTAGCAGGCAGGTGAGAACGGGAACAGGTGAGCGTCACATAGTGCCCTGGTCCTAATACGCCGAAGAGTAAAATGTAGACATACTAGTACCGGTGGCCCTCTTCAAGCACTGCCTGTAATCACATTTGACGCCACTTATCTGTGAAGTGGTAGGCCACTGATGGATTACATTTCGATAAAAATGGCCTTGTTACATTGGCAAAAGTCCAGACGATCCAATCCAGTAAAATATTTAGTCCAAAACGCATTATGATGTCAATAAATACACACAGACTGCTGTTGCATTGTTTTATATTAGCCTAACTGCAGTTAGCATGTATACAAGAAAAAGAGGCCACACAACACAGTTTAAACATCCCCATGAACAAGATCGTTCAGGGCTCATTTAGACACCACAAAGTCCTTCTGCAAGTCATTTATTGTTGTAAATACTGTTACAATCATTCTAGTACAGGAATGTAGCTCCAATAGCTAGAACATCACAGAAAAAAGCTAGCAAATAAATAAACAGTGTTGCTGCTTTACAGAAATAGTATTTTTCTTGTTTTTTTTAATTATCTTTAGACACAGAGAGTTAACGTTTCAGTTACATTCAAAATGAGTGCACTTAAAAATACTTGTTAGCCAACCCTGCTGTCTGCCACCAGCTTCAAGCGCTTGTTTCCTTGGTTAGCTTCATTGTGTCCAGCTAGCCTACAATCCCTGACAGACCATAGAAGGAAAATATCACACACACACCTTATCTTGTGCTCTAGCTGTATAGTATATATAAACATGAATGTCATTTCACACAATCAGTTTCCTACATTTTGCTCGCCTTAAAAGACTCTTCACAATTCTTTCTATTTACTGAAGCTTGCTTAGGCCAACACACAAAACCATTAGAAGTATATACCTTTACATAGTTTTCTATATATTTCATCTATATGTGTATTTTAAATTTCCAGCTGGTTTTTGTTTGAACATGTAGTACATTGGTTGTAATCACACACAACACACACACACACACTAGAAGTAAGAGCAGTACAGCGTAATCACCTGGCTCCAGTATAGCCCATGTTAAAAATCCAAAAGTGGCTTCTGTTGCCCCTATTCCTCTTCAGCATCAGTTTTAACATCATCCAAAATCCAGTAGTAGTAGTAAGGCCAAGATGAGCTTCATTGATGAGGACAGACATTTGGAATAGGTTGGGGCAAGCAGTAGGATTCATGTTACTGTAGCCTTAAACTCAGAAGGTCATGTTCACCACGTCAAACAGAAAAATAAAAACTGGTGATATCAGACACAGTGTGGTGATGTATGCAGGTACATTCCCAGAGAGACAGGAGGGGAACAGAGGAGTCGGAGTTTAAATGCTTTTGTTGTTTTTAAGACTGGTTCTGTTTTACTAGGAATTACAGGCATCCATCATCTGTAACAGCTTCATAAAATAAAAACCTGAGAAAGAAAAAACATTTGTGTGAACTCAAACATTATCTGTAACCACAGTGAAGCTGCAAACCTAAGTTTGTCTCTGTGTTGTAGTTGATGTCTAATCCACAAAAAATAATCAAAACAGCTCTGTTGATGTTCTACATTTTTAAAAGACAGTTGTACATGTACAGTATATGGGATTAGTTCTGTTTAAAAAAAACATTATTTAATCATTTGAGCCTTAATAAATTTAAAGTTTTTACATGAAGCACCGAAACACTTTTGTGACTGCAATGTGACTTGATTCAATTTTAGAATAAAAACATTTTTAATCTGACCACTGCCCTCTTAGTCAATGACAATCAACATGTTATTAAGTTGGATAAAAGGCATTATTTAAAAACTTAAAGGCTTTTTGAATTTACTATATGTAAGTGTGGCATCTTGCCCAGTATGGACTAACTGGACCACATATAACTGCATTTCTAAAGTTTATAATCAACTACTTAGTATATGGAAATGATGTAGGGAAACTCCTCCACTGAAAGTAAAGCAGTTTAAAGGAGATGATGTGTTTATGCCGTAACATCCGTGCAAATTTAAAAACATTAACTTTAACAATTTTAACATGTCCCGCGACCCTGTACGCAGGATAAGTGGTTGACAATGGATGGATAAACTTTAACATGTGTAACCCCTATCTCCACAAGAAGGCAGGCGGGAAAAAAGCTTTACTTTGCTCTGCATTTGAGTTTGTCAGTTCGTCTGAGCACTTCTACTAAAACATGTCTGATCAAAGTACCCTCAATTCAAAACAGCAGATAATCAAGAATATCCACAGAAATGCAGGTGTTTTTACGTGTTTAAGCCCATTACCTTTTCTCTAGTTGCCTGTCGACCACTGTCCAGAGCAGAACCTTTGTTTTTAGATTTTAGCTTTTAGAGACAGCCACAAATTGCCAGTGAAAACCAGCTTGTAGAGAGTGGAAATCAGTGATACACTATGATGGATTATCTAACCCTGAAAATGAAAACTGCATTTTGAAAATGGCCAGGAGTAAGCCAAAGAATATAAGTAAGTAGGATAAAACATATAATAACACTGTCATTGAAGGGTACAGTCACATTGTCATATTAGTCTTGTTATAAGCACCATTCAATTTAAAAACAAGCCACTGTATAAGGTTACTTTGTGTATAAATACACAATATTATTAAATTATCCCAAAACATTAAAATATGAAAAATAAATTGGACAAAAATAATCATGTTTCAGGTTTTTTAAACAAATAAACACAAAAAACAGTGCACCCCTGAACAGTTTGTATTGCAGGAACAGAAGTGATTTTGGAGGCAAATCTAAGCAGCCTGCAGTAGAACTTTGGTGGACACAAAATTCTGCTGTAGTGAGCATTTGCAGAGCTGCTGCCCTTTTCTCTCTTACTGAAGGTCCTTCAAAGTATGATCTAGGAATACATGCGATCAGTGACATGTAATCCCTGAAACTGGCTACACTTCAGTAACTGTAGAGAAACTATAGCTTTGTCAGAACACATTTCCTCTGAGGGGAAAATAAAGTGAACTGTACTATGTGTGTTACAGCAATCACCTTTATAATTACATTTATAAGAACATTCTAAATTGAAGATATTTCACATTAAACTCGTAATAAAATTCAATAAACAACTGTCAACTATTCACAAATTTGGTTATTAAATGATGCTACATGTAAAAAGGTATATGGAAGAGGTCTTTGGTGATCACTGTCTCTTTTACTTAATTCACGGAAAATCTATTAACAGATGAGGCAGGCGGGATCATGTGTAAAATCAGGTGTGTCAGTCTTCATCCAGCCAGAATGAGCGTAGTAGTCTACCGGAGAGGGACCGGGGTTTGGGGTGTACAGGGCCAGGGAGAGGAGGTTGCAGAGTGAACCGGAGCGCTGCAGATGGTTGGTGATCGTTCCCTTTGGCTTGATGAAGCTGATGCTCCTAATTTTACGCATGATCCATGATGACACAGAAAAATGGAAATGAATGGCAAAAATAGCGTATTGTCAATATTTTAGAGACCCCCAAAACTTCACAAATCATGTTTTCAGGGGAGCTCATATCTTATTAAGGCTCCCCCGTGGTTCACACCCTGCTTGTACCATTGCATTGGTATAGTTAAAAAGACATTTTCATAGTTTGGTAAGAGACTGCTCAAATTAGCCAAAAAGACATTGTGTTGGTTGGCACTAGCAACCTGCTGGTAACTAGTTATTAATTATGCTAACGCTTATGTCCCATTAAAATGACCAACTATTTGAATGTAAATAGGGATATGACTTAATGCCCAATTCTGATTTACTGCCCAGAACTCGATTTTCTTTATTGACCCATGATTGGCCCATTTCAGACTCCAGTGTGAACTAGCCACGGCCTAAAAGTGGTCTGCATGCACAAAAGAATAATACACAAGCAGTTACACGCAGCACACAGTTGTATGGAAGTAAACATGAAACAGAGTGGTTCCGATATGACCCTTCACCGCAAATACTTAGGTCTGACACCTCACTGTCACTCCACTGACAACTAGGGGTCGACCAATAATCGGCCTGGCCAATTATCGGCACCAATATTTAGCATTTTTCAATAATTCTGAATCGGTCATCAGATTGCCGATATAATTCATTTTAAAAATGCGTTCCTTTGGCTCTGATGCAGCTGGCTGTTGTCACCACTTTCCACCATTCGATGTCAGGAATATAGTATATTTTACATATAAATTTTTTTCCAGTGAGATCACTTTATAAAGTGACTTTGCTGCTGTATACTTTTGTTGCTGCTCTGAAAACAGATAGTTATAAACGTCATGTTAGTCAAAAACTGTTCTGAATTTCTTCTTTTTTTAAATAATATATTTTTTAAAGGCAAAATAATAATGAAAACCAATAAGAGTATAGATAAAGAACAGAACTAATAAATAGTATAAATAAAATACTAACAATATAAAATAAATACAATATAAATGGCAGCATGTAAAGACGAAGTTTATGATAATTTATCACTCTTAGTTAATGGGTCCTTGTTCTAATTCATTTAATTTACTATTTTTAAAGATTAAACATGACACTTTATTTTAGTCTTGTTATTTGATAAGATACACTTAAAGCCATTTCAACAAAGTTTTGTGTTGAAGTTTGGGGTATTCTAAATTTTGACACCAAGATTAAAATTTTTAGAGCAAATGTATAGCGGTTTCAAATATTGGTCTAATATCAGTCTAATTGGTTACTAATAATTGGTATCGGCCCGGAAAAAAACATATCTGTCGATCCCTACTCACTACCTACATTTTTGCATTCATTCGTGCTGAATTATGATGAGGGCAATCTAGAGTGAGGTCACATTTCAAAAAATCCGACCTGTATCTGATTTGGGCTTACATTAAGCTGGCGCTTTTATCCAAAGCAACTTACAGTTACTGTATATATATCAGAGGTCGCACGCTCTGGAGCAACTAGGGGTTGTTAGTTTAATGGGAATACATGCTAACTGGAGCTACTGTTGCTGCTAACAACTACTGGGATAACTGACTACAGTAGGGTTTGGAAAGGTTTTCTGTTGGAAGTGGAAAATGGAGCCGCAGCGTCAATTTTTCAACAATGCTGCAAATGCGTGGACTGTGAGTAGGGTCAAGATTCATATACCTGTGTGGAGAGCTCTGTGTTGTGCAAAGAACATCAACATTTAGTAGGAGGAGAGCTGAAGGTTGGTCCCATGAAATGTAGGTACAACATTAGCATGTAACATGTCCAATATAAAACAAAAAACATGATTTGGTGGAGGAAATATAACTGAAGACGGGCAGTGTTCTGCCAGTGAAATAGCAGCATGGCAGAAAGCACAGTTGGGGGTTGCGGAGGTCAGGGTTGGATGTGCAGATTGCCACATCAAGGTTAAGTTCCCTGCATGTGAAAATAAGGTTTCTAATGTTTGAGAAGTCGTAACAGTGACTAAAATTTTCTCCAAACTGTCTTAGTTGCCTAAACTGAGCACTAAATATACACTTAGGAATTGTTATAGTGCTAATGTGTAAAGTTTCAAAACATTTGAAGATTCTTGGGCACTACTAGGCGCTGAAAATGTATCAGGTGTAAACATCCTTTCTCTAATTGTACCTTTAGCCAAATGTACACAAACAAATCTTTTAGTGAGTGCTGATGGACAATTTGGGTTTCTATGTTGTTGTCAAAAGGCAACAGAACAACTCAGTACAGTCCATCACTTGTGGATAGAAGGGTACAGGATGAGCACTGGCTGAGCAGGGGGGGAGGCTTGGGGAGTGACAGTTGATTGCAGGAGGGTTAAAGGGTGTGTGAGGTCAGGGCCTTGACTTGTTAAATGTAAACAGGTTGCTCCTGGGCGGTCAGCAGGCGGTACATGGCTGCAGGCATCGTCTTCATATGGATCTGGTAGTCAGAAACAGAACAAAGCATTCAGTTCATGGCATCATTAATAGCAAATGCCTTTAGAGATCAAGTTCCAAATGGTAGCAGTCATTGTTGCTAACCCAGACATTCCACCAGACACATGGAACGTCACGAAATGTCAATATGACAAGGCTGGTGTTATTCTATAATTTACTTATTGTCACTAAATGCCATGAAATAACCAAATAGTGAGTGTGGGAGTGGGAGAGAGAGAGAGAGAAACCATCAAATATCCCCCAGCTATCAAAAGTAAAACTGCAAAAGGAAAATATAAGACCAGAAATCCTAATCCTCGACCATTACAAAGATGGAAGGTCTTGTAATTTAATCTTCTGGACGGATGAACCATGTGCCTGGCTGAATGTGTTCAGCTCTCATTACCCAGCAATAAAGAGAGCAGGTATTTGTAATGGATGGAAAATAAGTGTACTGGAAGAAAATGACTCTGACACTAGCAGAATAACAGTAAACCTGTTCAAAAATGGAACTGCCACGATACAAGGCAACCTGAGACAGTTTGAGCTCGACTTTCCTGCTATGAGACTGAGAGCTGAGAAGGAGAAGGAGGTCCTCACAAGCATCGCTCCAACCCTGGGAGTCAAACCGTCCTGCTCTGTCCCTGCTCCAGACAGACAGTCTGCAGATGCTGACACTGATCCTCTCCTGCTACAGCACTCTGAGGCCCTGGACATCACGAGAGAACACCTCTCCCAGATGGAAATGGAACTGGTACAGATCAGAGAGCAGCTGGACCAACAGCAGCCTACCTCTCCTACTGTCAGGGACTCCCAGGCCAAGAAAGAACAGGACAGTGTCAACTCACAGCTGAGAGAGTTTCAACAAGAACTAACTCGTCAGAGAAGACAGCTGGATCATCTCAGTGAGGAGGTGAAGGAACTTAGGAAGGACAGAGACAACTGTAGAACTGAGTTGGCTACTCTGAGAGAAGAGCTACAGGACCGGGACAGGCTCAGTCTACAAGCCAGACTGAACTCCACACAACCCCCTGTGCCTGCCTCTCAGATCCAGACCACATCCAGCCAAACTCTCACTACACCTGCTGAAGGACAACACACCTTTCCTCGAGGACTCCCCCACCTCTCACACAGCCTGGTCCAGACTCTAATCCCCCCCCCTGTACCAACCAGCTGCCTCCATACAAACATCCCAAGCCAAGATGCCAGTCACACCCCTGCACCTGTCCAAGGCCCGGCCTCTAGCCAGCCTCCGGCTAGGAGCTCCAGACCTGAAACCACCACCACAGCTCCACATCCAGACCCGACAGCTGAGTCTGAACAAACACACACAGGCAGACGGGCTGACAATATCCTCCTCATGGACTCTAATGGAAAGTTCCTGGATGAAAAGACCTTATTCCCAAGGCACAGAACGGAGAAGATCTGGTGCCCCAACACCAGGAGAGCCCTGGAGCTGTTAACAGCGCCTGAGCTAGGCTCGTATAGCCACATCATCATCCATACAGGCACCAACGACTTAAGTCCCAACAGGACAGACTGGCAGACTCTTCCACCAATTTACCTACCAGCAAGATAGTCATATCCACGCTGCTGCACAGGAGAGACTTCAACCCCCACACCATTCACAGAGTGAATGTCAGCCTCTCCAGGGACTGTGCCCTCAAACCCAACGTGTTCTTGGACCTGGACTGCCTGTATGATAAGATACACCTACACAGAAATGCAGGGCCCACCCTTGCTAGGTTGTTGCCCTTGGAAGGAGCCTTACTGTCACTCCAAGGGATAACCACACAACACAGATCGCACACAGACCTCCAGGACCTCTTTGACCTTCCACCATGCATCCACCCACAGAAAGGATGGCCAGGCCACTAAATCTACTGCATTTACATTTTACATTCATTCATTTAGCTAACGCTTTTATCCAAAGCGACCCCTCCCATATCCCAACGACAGAAAGTAGACTACAGGAACAGAGCCTATTGGACTGAACTATGCTGCAGCGGTGAGAAGAGCCACAGCCCCGCCCCCCTCTGGTGAACTCAAAGACATATTACACATGCTACACCTGCTCTGCTCTCACCTCATATAGCTACATGGTGGAAGAGCAGAGACCTCTTAGAGACATCACAATAGTAGTTTAATAGTATAGCATGTTGTTTATTATTTTAAATGAATAGTAATATAAGGACAGTTCTTAACAGTATTTAACACTTGATACAATCTAAAATGTCACACAAAGTTTAATAAATTATTAATTTATTTAATCTTATATATGGTTGAAATTTCAAATTGTTTCAAATTGAAATTTACAAAAAGATGAGTTGTGCTGAGTAACATGTCTACATGTGTGCCATCTACTGTATATACCTCCATCAGAATCCCCCTACTACAACCCAGATATTTTCTCTATTCTTGAGGAGGAAATGAACCATTATAAGACCATGAACGCTCGAACAGGGGAAAGAACTGACACTATGAACACCCAGGGAGACAAACACTTACCTGGAAGCACCTGCTTCCCCCTCCCTGAATGTCCTGCTAGAAAGAGCTTTGACAAGCTTACTACTACAAGCAGTATGCAGCTTCTACAGCTCTGCCGTACGCTGGGTCTGTACAGAGTCAACGGCAGGCTACGAGGGGACTCTCTGGGCCGCTACACTTACTGCTCAGCTCTTGTCAGTAGTACAGTAGATTATTTCATTACAGATCTAGATCCCATGTCTCTCAGAGCTTTCACAGTCAACCCCCTCACACCCCTCTCAGAACACAGCAAAATCACAATCTAACTGACAAGGGCGTAGTCTAACTCTGGAGCCCCTAGTGCCTGTGAACTGTTCAAAGCAAAAAGTTGCTTTGGATAAAAGCGTCATATAAATGTAATGTAAAATATTTTTACATTTTTTGTATAATTTTTTTTTTAAGCACACAAACACACTTTTACTGTTTTATTTACTTAATTTAATGCAATGTATGAATTGAATTAAGAGAGAGAGAGCACAGCAGCTGGCTGGCAATATTTCACATTTTGATTATAGTCAACAAATCCCAGGAAAAGACCCAAACCAGTGACAGTCCGTCTCTCACACTTTCTAACTTCCCTACTCTGTCTGTGGGCGCTCAGCTCCAAGCCCACTAATGAACAATTTAGAATAGAAGAATTTAGCTTTGGCTCAGGAGTAGAGCGGGTTGGCTGTTAAATGGAAGGTCGGCGGTTCAATCCCGGCTCCTCCAGGCTGCAAGTGTCCTTGGGCAAGATACTGAACCCCGAATTGCCCCTGGTGGCTGTTCCACCAGTGTAGGAATGTGTGTGAATATTAGTTTCTGTTTGAGCACCTAGGCTCAGTGAGTGAATGGTGAATGTAGTGTAAAAGCACTTTGAGTGGTCGAAAAGACTAGAAAGACACTATACAAATAGCGAGCATTTACATTTCTAGAAGTTTTTATCAAATTTTACTCAAGAAGGAGGAAGCAGTCCATTTGTTTGGGACTCTATTGTGAGCGTTTATATATATCACGATCCAACTCTTTTCCTGTAGAATGAATATATATTTCATAACGTATCCTGGACTTGGTTTTGTATACATTTGGCTTGGAAAAGTATTATCCAAGTTAACTGGGTCCATTTTATTGGTGAGTAAATGAAGATGTATGAAATGTATGTATTCAATTAAAGTGTGTTAAGATAATTTACAAAGCAACATACATTTTAAACTCTTCTGACCTTGGATTATACACAGGGAGGTCAGGATGTTGTTTTAAAGAATGCACTAAGTGTTAAACTGATCGCACCGGCATGCACCTTGGCTCCTTGCTGCAGAGCTAATAAGGAACCATCTGTTTCTTCTGCTCAGCAACTATCATTCACTGCTAACAACTATAATCATATGGCCATACAGTGCAGATGTTTACTGTATATAACTGCCACTTATTTCTTCTTAGTTCCTTCAACTAGTAAGTGGCAGGAAGACTTTAGTAAGCACCAGAAATGTTGCATACAGTCTGTGAAAAGATGTGTTTGTTATGTTTATGTCCAGTGTGATGCTTTACCTCTCCCACAGCATTGGACAGGATGTGGACAATTTTTTCATGGGGCGTGGCCACCACGCTCTGGCTATTGATCTCGATGATGCGGTGACCCACTCTGACCCCGCCCCGTTCAGCAATGCCCCCACGCATAAGGCTACAGATCTGTTGAAGAGACAGATCAATTCTTTTACATGATAGATCAAATTTCACTCTAGTTTAACAGAACCATGTGTCATTTCACATAAAAACAGAGCAGAATCACAGTGCTACCCACAATGCCATTCTGGACGCTGAAGCCCAGCTGGTAGCGGAGATCTGGCCGTCTGATGAGTACAGTGGTCACTGGGGGACATCTGACAATGTTCAGCTTGATCCGAGACTGGTTCTTCAGACCCTACATAAAAGAAAGACTATGGTATCAGTGAAATGTCAAAAGGTGCACATCACTACATAGACAGATGATAAGATTCCAGTTGTGGCTTTGATAGAAAAATTCCAATGTTGATCCCTCAGAATTTCCATTCCATTTCCAAGTTTCCCTTTTATCCTATTATTTTGGAGAAAGTAGTTGCTAAGCAACACCTTGAGGTTGAAGGGGATCATGTACTTGGGACAGCACACCTGAAAAACTGCTTTGGGAAACCCCAGCAGATACAGATGCAGTATGCTGGAATTACCCAGATGCGAGGAAATGCCAGCAGATTGTGCTTCATCCAGCCAGAGAAGTTAGTCATGGAGTTCCTCGAGGATCTGTGCTCGGACCAGTCCTCTTCACTTTATATATGCTTCCTTTAGGCAATATTATCAGGAAACATTCCATAAACTTTCATTGTTATGCAGATGATACTCAATTATATCTATAAATCAAGCCAGATGAAACTAATCAGTTAGCTAAACTCCAAATGTGCCTTCAGGATGTTAAAACCTGGATGACCTGTAATTTTCTAATGTTAAACTCAGATTAAACTGAAGTTATTGTTCTGGGGCCCAAGCACCTCCGTGATGTATTATCTAAAGATATAGTTTCCCTTGATGGCATCGCCCTGGCCTCCAGCACCACTGTAAGGAATCTTGGAGTTATCTTTGATCAGGACATGTCATTTAACTCTCACATTAAGCAAATTTCAAGGACAGCCTTTTTTACCTACGTAATATTGCAAAAATCAGGAACATCCTGTCTAAAAATGATGCAGAAAAACTAGTCCATGCATTTGTTACTTCTAGGCTGGATTACTGCAATTCTCTATTATCAGGCTGCTCGAAAAAGTCCATTAAGACTCTTCAGCTGATTCAGGTGACAGGAACCAGGAAAAGAGATTATATTTCTCCTGTCTTAGCTTCTCTGCATTGGCTTCCAGTAAAATCCAGAATATAATTTAAAATCATTCTTCTTACCTAGAAAGCTCTTAATGGTCGGGTGCCATCTTATCTTAAAGAGCTCATTGTACCTTACTACCCCACCAAAGCACTGTGCTCCCAGAATGAAGGGTTACTTGTGGTTCCTAATGTCTCCAAAAGTAGACTAGGAGCCAGAGCGTTCAGCTATCAAGCTCCTCTCCTGTGGAACGAGGTTCCAGTTTGGGTTCAGGAGGCAGACACCATCTCCACATTTAAGAGTAGGCTTAAGACTTTCCTCTTTGATAAAGCTTATAGTTAGGGATGGCTCAGGTGAGTCCTGAACCATCCCTTAGTTATGCTGCTATAGGCCTAGACTGCCGGGGGATTTCCCATGATGCACTGAGCTCCTTTCTCTTCTTTCTCTCCCTCTGTATGCAACCTCATCCCATTAATGCATGTTACTAACTCGACTTCTTCCCTTTCCGGTAGTCTTGTACTTTCTCGTCTCTCTCCTCTCTCCTCCTATCACTTGCTGTGGAGTCTGGATCTGTGGTTGCGAGTCACCTGCTGCCCCCGTGTTCCTGCTCGACACCCCCTGCTACAATTATTGTTACTAGTCCTATTATTATTATTGTTATTATAATCATTAACATTACGATTATTATCATTAACACTATAAATATCTTCTATATCTACCATTTTTCATTCAGTCTATAGCAACATCACCTTTACTGTTTGTGCCTGTGTGTATATTGTGTAGGCTGCCTCCCTCCCCTCTCTCTCTCCTTCCATCCCTCTCTGTCCCTCTCTTGCCCTCTCTCTCTCTCACACCCCCAACCGGTCGCCCACCCTGAGCCATGGTTCTGCTCGAGGTTTCTACCTCTGTCGCCTAGTGCTTGCTCTTGGTGGGAACTGTTGGGCTTCTGTAAATAACATCACAGAGTATGGTCTAGACCTGCTCTTTTATGAAAAGCGCTCTGAGATAACTGTTGTTGTGATTTGGCGCTATATAAATAAAACTGAATTGAACTGAATTGAAATTGAATGTTCATAATCATTGGAAGCCAAAATAGTAATTGAAAATAAAATTTGATTAACTACACAGGCAGGTTACAAGCTACTGGCAGAGAAAGCAGAACGGCTAGGCTATGCTATAGCAGCTTAAATATGGTACCTTGAATGGAATTTGCCAATGAATGCTAAGAGAGGAATCAGCTGAGCTGTCAGCCGATGTAACTGGGGTTGTGAGCTGAGCTTGACTTCATTGCCTGGTTGAACTAACGCGTGTTCGAAGCTGAGTGGACTGGTTCCAGTAGAACAGAGAGACCGACCAGACAGATTACAGTTGGACAGAGAGGACAAACAGGCCGAGTGGACTTGTTAAAGTGAGACAGAGGGGCAGAATGACTGGTTTCAGAGGGACAGAGGGGTAGAATGACTGGTTCCAGTGGGACAGAGAGGAAGAGGACTGGTTCAGGTGGGACAGAGAGGCAGAGTGGACTGGTTCCAGTGGGACAGAAAGGCCGACAGATTACAGATGGACAGAGAGGACAGATAGGGTGAGTGGACTGGTTACAGTGAGACAGAGGGGCAGAGTGACTGGTTCCGGTGGGACAGAGTGGAGTGATTACAGTTGGACAGAGAGGACAGATAGGGCGAGTGGACTTGTTCCATTGGGACAGAGGGACTGAGTGGACTTCCAGTTGGACAAAGGACAGATAGGGTGAGTGGTGTTGTTCCAGTGAGGCAAAGTGGACTGATTAAAGTTGGACAGAGAGGACAGATAGGGTGAGTGGTGTTGTTCCAGTGAGGCAAAGTGGACTGATTAAAGTTGGACAGAGAGGACAGATAGGGTGAGTGGTGTTGTTCCAGTGAGGCAAAGTGGACTGATTAAAGTTGGACAGAGAGGACAGATAGGTCAAGTGGACAGTTCAAGTGGGACAGAGAGGCAGAGTGGACTAATTACAGTTGGATAGAGAGGACAGATAGCCCGAGTGGACTTGTTTCATTGGGACAGAGGGACCGAGTGGTCTTCCAGTTGGACAGAGAGGACAGATAGCCCGAGTGGACTTCCAGTTGGACAGAGAGGACAGATAGGGCGAGTGGAGTTGTTCTAGTGAGGCAAAGTGGACTGATTAAAGTTGGACAGAGAGGACAGAGAGGCCGGGTGGACTGGTTCCAGTGGGACAAAGACAAAATGTTTGTATTACCACCTGCTGAAATTCCTATTTTACTTTCAGTATCATAGAAACGTCTTAGTTGTAAATATCTGAAAAGGTCCCTATTTTCAAAATTTAATTTGTGTTTGAGATTTATAAAAGTCTGACTGTACATATCACTGTCATTCCTTTTTATGTCCACCTCGCAAACACATTATCTGTCTTTCAAGGACAAAACTTAGGGGGTCTGAAAATTCCAAATCAAAGGTTTACTATCTGCTTCCAAGTTTTATTTTCTAACAATCTTGTTTGAAATTTAAACTGAACCTTCTAAAACTGAGTTAAAAAAACTTGCTCAGTCTTGCTTTTATCAGCCTAAGTGGGACTGTCTGAAAAGACCTGTTCCAATCAAAGACCCTTACACAGGCTACAGACTGTGTATAATGCAGTATAAAACTGCCAGATATCCTTTAAATACAATTTAGTGATGGGATAAAGCTACAGCTGTTTAGCCTCTTTACACTAACTGCCAGTCGATTCTTGATCTTCATTTTAATGTTTTGTTGCAAGTCATCCTCCTCTCCTCTTGTTCATTTCCTGTCTGTATCTCTGCTCTGTCTATAAAAATATTGGCAACATGGCAAAAATAAACCTTGAAAAAAAGGTTTTTATGTATCGCACTTAGTAACATTTTGCTTAGATTTGGCTTCTATATTGTTTAGCACTTTGTTACTTTTGTTTTGCAGCGGTGGGCACCTCCATAATCAGTATCTTCATTCATAATATCTGTTTTAAAGATTTGGGCGTTCACATACCTTGATGATGCTCTGGCAGGTGGACAGTGGCAGTCCCACCAGACTGGTCCCATTAATGGACATGATCTGGTCTCCTATGTTCAGTCTGCCAGACCTCTCAGCTGGCCCAGCATGCATCATGTTGGCAATGATAACAGTGGGAAGGATGGAGCCCCACCCACTCTCCACAATCACCACACCCATTATCTCTCCTTTAGCTTTCTCTATGAGCACCTGAGGTCACAGCAGGCAAAGAGAAACAACACAAAATCATTTCTGTCAGAGAGAAATTTAATCCAACTTTTCACTTTGTTTAATACAATTTTCCACATAATGCAAAAACACAGAAAACAGTATAGTTTTAGTGGTTTCACTGCATTTACGTAGATGCCACTGACAGCTAGCAATAACAGCAAAACCTTTGGAATCTAGAAGTTCAAAGCAGCAGCACTGTAAGAACCAGTAGCAACGGTAAAGAAACGGATCATTGAATTGTTTATTTTGAACAGTATATGACATTCAGTTAAATCCCAGCTTACATCTTTGCAGTTCTCAGACTTGGAGAAGTGGATGAGGTCATCGTTGTACATGTCCTGAGTGTTGAGCAGGTCACTGTACTCCTTCTGGCTCAGGTCCTCAGGGTTAATGCCATTGGCCCGTAAAAATTCCTGGTAAGCCACACTGAAGGCCTGCCCGATGGACTGGGCAATTAACTGGGCCTAGAAGACAGGATGCGTAGGGGAGAGAAGTGGCAGAATTTTTGAAATAATTCTAATTGTTTATATTATGTAGAGATTAGATACTTATTGTATTAGTCCTTTCTGAAATTAATGGTGTGCCATATAGCAATAGTCAGACCAACAACAAACCAACGTACAGACAACTACAGTACCGACACAAACATCACCAGAGTGCGCTACATAATATACTAAGGTACAGCTTCCTCACAACCAGAGATTCAGTAAGTTTTTTGTTTCACAGTTTGTTTAACAACGCAATATTGGTAGGCACAAATGATCTGCGGGCCCAGTTGGTGATGGTACCCTATACAGTCTGCCTGATGGTAACAGCTCGTACACGCTAAATAGGGGATGTGATACATCTCTAATAATAACCTGCTGTCTCCTCATTTGGGACTCACAGGTCATCGTCATGCAGTTTTTCTGCTGTCCAGCAATCTTACTGGACATCTTGAATATCTTATACAGTTTATTTTTATTATTTACTGACAATGTAATATACCAGACAATGGAACAAAAGGTTAATATGCTGTCCACGAAGGAGCGATAGAAGAGGATCATTATATCTCTCTCCACAACAAACTGTCTCAGTTCATGCATAAAATATAGACGCTGCAGACCTTTCTTATAAATAACATCTGTGTTAAAATTCCATGACTGTTGTGCATCCATTACTGTAGTATTTGTAATCATCTATCATTTCCATACCCTCTCCATCCATAGTCAATTGTTCGTGGGTGTTCCTAACATTCCTTTTTTAGTTTTCTTGGTGTTCAATTGAAGAAAACTTGACCTACACCAACCAACTGCTCTACCCACCCCTGGTAGCAGGTCATCTTGAATCAAACCACCGATTGCCATATCGTCATTAAATTTAATAGTAACATTCTCAGTGTTGCTTCAACATTAATTTGTATAGAGGGTAAATAAGACTGGGGAAATAGCACTTCCTTGTGGAGCCCCTGTGTTGGTAATAATAGGAGAAGACGCTGCTTCATTTACTCTGACACACTGTACTCGGTCAGCCAAAAAGGACTCTACCCATCTAATGATGTGACTATACTCCTAACTGCAGTACTCGCTCCTTCATAGTATGGGGTCTGATGGTATTAAATGCAGATGAAAAATCTACAAAGAGAACACAATCATATCGTTTAGGTCAATTAAGATGACAATAAATATAATGCAGCATAAATGAAAGGGCATCTTCTGTACTCCTGTCCTTCCTATTTGCAAATTGTAGTGCGTCCAGTTCATGTTGCACTTCCTTAAGGACATGATTTAAGACAATCCTCTCAAGACCCTTCATTACAACTGATGTTCAGGCAACTGGCCGATAATCATTTAAGACAGACGGTTGTGACATTTTTGGTACTGGCACTATGAGTGAATGAGTAATGGTCAGCTCAGCTGCTTTTTACCCAACTGATTAAACTGTCAAAATGTAAAATTGCATGTTGTCCCTTCTGACTTGCAAAGACATCATTGAACTTTATTGGTGGACTCACATCCTCAGACTCAAACACGTGGCATATCATCTTGTACTGGCGCTTGCTGTCTTGACCTGGGTCTGAGGCCTCCACATTCTCCTGAGAGTCGGGTCGAGGCATCCTGCGCCGGGCCATCAGAACCACAATGTTGCCAATGTCAGCAATGTAGGAGATGGTCCGTAAAGGGTGGTCCATCATGGTCTCCTGGAAGTCAGAGGACCATAACAGTCCTTATTATCATCTAAATCTCAGGTTAGAAACCATACTAAGTAATAAACATTGAAAAAATTAAATTTATGCAAACAACATGGACAGCTACTTAAGGACATCTTATTAAAAAAAGTATACAGATCCACATTGGAAGTTATACTGTTCCCCTAAATACATCTTGACTCAACACTCCAAAGGCCTTTTCCTCTTAAATTTTAAAAAATGCTTAATACTTTTCTACCATATGACCCAAGGGACCTCTGTACAAACCAGAAACAGACTGTGATACCCTATATCTAGCTATTTATTATTGATCTTAACAACATGCAACTAGGGATCATCTCAGAGCACTGATATAGCTGCTTTGGACTACACATTCATGGTTATGTGTGTATGATACATGTTAATCTGCATTACATTACTTCTTCACCAAACTTAAGGAGCCACTTGTAGGTTGATTTTTATTGAAATTTATACTTAACCTTCCTTGAAAATTACCATTTGAAAAGTGAATGCAGAATTGTATGTTTTAAAAGACATGTGGCCAACATTTCAGAGGAAAATGTAGCTCTTTTTTTCAACATTGTGTCATATATCTTATAACAAAAGGGAGTTGTTACCCCAGATTATTCTCCCTTGGAATCAACAAGCAGTAGTAGGTGGTGGTCAGTCTGAAAAGTTGTAATTTAAGTTAACTAACCATCAGGTACATGTTATGGTTTTATGCCAAAGAGTAAAATGTCGAGGTACTGCGTACCGGTCCACTTCAAGCATGGCTGTTCTTATTTTAGACCAGATGTTCCTGGTGATATGAGTCTAGTTCAGTTCATGTCGAAGCCAGGACCATGAAAGGCTGATAGCTGCTGCGGCTCCGTTAGTACACACAGCAGCTTCATCGGGAAGCGTTGACTGTGCAAGTGTGGTTTTCTAACATTTGCTAACCAAAATTCCAAAATTAGGGTTGGGTACAGTACTGTAAAAGGTAGTGCGGAATATCTCTCCTATGGCTATTATTTCGTCTAATCCTGGTCTGCTCCTGGACTCTTGGACACCTAACAGGCTCAAAATTATAAGGCTGAGATCCATCATATGGGTGTGAATATACATTTTCCTCTTCAGTGTCAAAACCAGTGCGGGGATCTATACTGCTGAATCAGAAACCGGCGCTAACGTGGCTGCTCTCCCTTTTGTTATCGCACATCCAATTCGTCTTTTTTGATGGGGGAAGTAAAACTCTTACAAAAACCTCTCCAGAAGTTACTCTTGTGTATATAGATTTTCTCCTACACACTGACTCACTGGGGTCTCCAACATGACAGTTGCTCTTTAAGACCATTTTAATGCCAATACCAAGAAATTTAATAGCTGCTTCACAGTCATACCGGCCGAAGTATGAAAGATATCAATAAAAACCAGTAAGGACGATATGCCCTGCAATTAAAGTCCATGAAATAATAGACATTTAGATCACATTTCTGTCAATTCATTGTCAAACATAAGGAATGTTTTTGCTAAAATCACAGACAATAACATCTTTACAGGCACACCAATGTTGATGTGTTCTGAAGGGAAACCGAACATCATCAGCAGTGTGGTGGCATGCTGCTGCTTTTTCTGCACTGATCTCAACAATAATAGCATACAGTAGTAACTTTCTTGAAAGCCGCTTTGTTTAACCACGTTTATATTGCGCAAAATTGACATTCGCAGGAAAGATACAACTTTATCAGATAGCCACTCTTAGCCCATCAAGGGCTATGCATACCACTAACATAACTGTTTCAGTTATGAATTACATTTATATCTTATTGCTGTGATACATATTCATATATTTAAATTTAAACTCAAACTGATGTTGTAACTGCTTGTTCTGTTTCAGAAGTTAGAGATAGAGCATGCTTTATTTCCTGACCAGATATTCCTACTCCCTCAATGAATTAGTTCCAGAAAGCAGGCACAGCTCAGCTCTCAGATCAAAGTTTATAGCTGATTGGCTGGTTAGGAGCACAGACTAAGTGTGCAGCATCAAAGGTCTCTGTGTAGGCCTACTGGACTCCATTTGAATGTATTCTTTAAAGATCTGGTGATATGAGGGTTCTTTCTCAGTAAGGTGAAAAGAAAAGACACTGCAGATGTGTACGTTAGTCACAGTGAGTACCTGGGAGTCAGCATTGAGAACTTTGATTCTCTGAGTGGAGATGAAGAGATCCACCTCTGTCATGGGCTGAGGCTCACCCTCAGGGCCCTACACACAAATGCACAACCACATTAACAAGCAAGATTTGACACACATTCATAAAACACACAGACTGACAAAAAAAGGGAAAAACGTTAGTCAATGAATGAATAAACAGACATTCAAAGTTAGAGGTCAGTCTCATTACCACTAGAGCACACAGTGAAAGATAAAACAGTTGCTAAATGCATTGGACTTTCTGATCCATAAATCCCAAAATATGACTTTAACTCAAGGTTGGACTCGAGGTACAGAGCTAGCTGTAACAACTCCTAACAGAAAACCCACATTTACTGTACTGCAGATAGTGAATTCATTACACTACTGCTGAACATTTAGCAAAAAATGCCAAAGCTGAGCTGTTTTTACACCTTTTATTTCAGAACACTATGAAATGTAGTAGTTTGACCTCCAGTGAACATCACATCTGCTTTTGTCATTGTAAAAGTCACAAAACATCAATGTTGCACTGTAAAGCAAAGCAGAATTTCTTTAATCCTCTCATCTAACTCTTCTTTTAAGTGGCTTTGATTTTCAGAACACAATAAAGTGAATGGAAAACCAATGGGTACCCAGAGGTAGGGGAAAAAGCTTTGGAAAATGGTCAGCAGTGGTGTAAAGCACATTGATTTGCAGGAAGTGGAATTTGCCTTCACATATGTTGCCATATTGCATTCAGACTGCAGACCAAAGTGACCCAAATCTGATTTTTTGCTCATGTGACTCAGATCCGATTTTTTAATAACTGTGCGAACAGCCCAAGTCACATGGAATCCGAGCTTTTCCAGTTCAGACTTGAGCCACTTTTGCTACGTTCACACTGGAGGCCTTAAAGCTCAATTCCGATTTCTTTGTTTTCATTATCATTATTACTGAAATGTGGCCCATTTCAGACTCCAGTGTAAACTGTCCATGGCCTGAAAGTGACCCGCATGCATAGAAGATAACCCTGGGAAAGAATAATTAAGTATTAAGGCCTGCAGTGTGAATGTAGCGTTACATTTGGTTTAACCTCCTTACTGTGATCAAAATCTGCAACAGTAACGAGTGCACTCTAATTGAGAACAGTAAAAACATAGTAAAACTTAAATTAATAGCCGAGTCCCAAATAGCCGCCTACCCCGTTTACTGGCCTGGTGTCGGAACACATTTTGACAACTAAACGCAAGTCCCCATTAAACGCCTGGTCTGGATTTTATAGAAGATCTTTGGATGTATTAAACCCTGCAGTGTCGCCCACTTTAGCTGCTTCTAAGCTGCTTAGATAGTTAATACAAATATTAATGTTTAAACGTATGATCAATATGTCAGCATGGACATGCTTCACATCATTAGAGTGGTTAGATTCTCCACAATTCAATCGTTCAATTAATTTAATGTAAACAACAAGCCCCAAAGTCGGATTCTTATAGATTTACCAGTGTTTACTTGGATTCATAAAAATTAATCCAAGTTGTGAATACTGTCATGTGGATTCCATCGCTCTCTGTCTGCTAACTTCTGCCACACTTTTCTTTTTTGTTTTCGTTATGTTGCTTTTATTATGTTACAAAATAAAAGCGCATAAGCCGCCTGTCAGAGCTCAGAGATCAGTATTTGAAATTATTTGAGAATTTTTATACGTAATAATTAATATTCATACGGTTTAAAAGAAATAAACTGTTTCACGGTAGCCTATTTCAGTTTTGTACGAAAAGAATTAAAGGCCTGTCCCACATAGACACCTGTCCCAAATATAGGCAGGGTCAATTCAGTGATTTTAGAATCAAAGCCCTGGCTATTAATCAATATTTACGGTAGTCTCCATACAGTAAACATCAGAATGGTATTTGATTTGATAATAATACCAGTCATCTCATTATGTTTGATGGAACATGTTTGTCATGGCAGCAATATGTTGGTGTGAGCTACAATCAACATTTGAAAATAATCGTAGCAGCGGTCTATCACATGCTGGGGGCAAAACTGGAGCATCATTTAATCTGACTCAAAAAGGTTTGATATCATTTCTGTTTGTGTGGAGTCATCTTTATATTCTTTATATTCTCTAAACATGCAGGAGGTACAATTATTTATAACTGTGCTTATTTACGTTGACGTATCCATACTTGGATAGTTTACTAAGAACAAAATGTTGTAAACCTGTAAATTACATACATATGATAATGCAAATGATCCACCAAACTGTATTGCCAAGATCTGCATTTCTTACTGTGTGTACTATCCTCTGCATGCATTCCAATTTTGAGTCCATAAAGTCAAATTAATCTAGGTGTTTTCCCTCACTGTGCCCCTGGTTTACACAGTGAACAATTATACAAAATTAGTATTGTGTGCTTGGTGTCACAAAAAGGAAACTCAGGAAAGAGGGGTATGCATTCCATTACAAAAATTTAAGTCTGCAGCTATATTAACAATAATAAAAGAGAGAATGACATTATTATACCCTGTGTGGCTAGACTTATGTTTTTAAATGTTACTCTAAATAACGCATACTTGAAAGGTGAAAAATAAATGTTTGTATTTTCATTCTTCTTAGACAATATGGCCAACTTGGACACTTCCACTCCCTGCTCAGCTTCCTTGGACTTGATACCTCTGGACTTCATCCTGAACCCCTGGGACCTGTTGGGATTCCCCGGACGCCCCTTGAGTCCTGACTACCTGAGATAACAGCCTGTGAGCTAGTTCAGGCAGTCAACACATTCTATTTTATAAGGTAATTATAAAAGCTAATTATAAGGCAGCATGTTAAATAACTAATCATCAGGTACATGTTATGGTAGTAGAGTAGAAGCCTTAGAAATGTAGTATAAATTAGTCTAAGTACTAAGTACTTAAAAACTGTATGTGCAGTAAAAGTACTAGAAATAGCTCAACTACTGCTACAACTACAACTGATCATAAAATGACAATGCGTCAGTTTTACATTTCTATTATTACACTTTTTATTTACACAAAATAAAATTACAAAATAACACGGTTAACATTCTGACTTTTAGCCAGGTTCTAGGGATGGTAGTGCCGTTCTGTCGGCCACTTTGGTTCAGTCTGGAATATGAAACCTGAGGTCATGAATATTATTGACTTTAATGAACCCCAGACCATTCACTTAGTGTCACTATCAATCAGTTGTCAATTCTTCTAATTCTTTTGTTTATGGCCAAATACATCCCCATCAGCCTCAGCTGTATGTTTTGATTAGTGATTATTAGCATGTTAGCATGCTAACACATTATACAAAGATTTGACCACGCTAAACATAACCTACATAACATCAGCTATGCTAGCCTGGCTGTAGACTTCTGTCTGTACTAGACACACAAAGCTCATTTGACATTGCATTTTATCATCTAACTCTCTCTCATAGTGTCACTATAAATCCAGAATCAGCAGCAACAGAGAGAAAACACACTGAATACTACAACACATCCAGTAAGACCTCACAGAGTCAGAAAGATTACAGCTGTATCCAGCAAACTGTATTCCTTCCGTGACAAAAACTAGAGTATTACAAATTTTGGACATAAGAAAACGTCTAATATGGAATGAAAAAATGGTAAGAGGACTGGAGACCCAAGGGAGGGACCTAAACAATGAACACCACTGGCTGCTGGATTCAGGAAAATGCCAACAATACATCAGAATGACAGAACACTAAAGAGAACACAGAGGAGAGGACAATGATACACACAGACACACAGAAAGGCAAGAGGCAAGAGAGATGCTGTGCTTGGCAGTGTAGACAACAAGACGGATAAGGAGGTACTGCACCTTCTTCTTGTTCTGGGCTAATTTCTGGGCCGTCTGCCAGGCATGGAACAAAGCAGACAGGAGAGTAATGGGTTAGAGCAGTGCACAGGAGAGGCTGACTGGATCACCAGGGGGAGGCAGGAATTGGGTATTCAGTGTATGTCAGATATAATATCCTTTATCTGCTGTGCCATTGTACTGTGCAGTGTTTGTAACTTTGTTCACATTGAGTAGGTGTGTTCATGTGCAGGAGACTGTATTGTTGAACACCATCATTTTACCCACCTTGGACATTTTGATGGTGTGCTGAAGGTTTCTGACAGCGGTAAAGTTCAAAATGCAGAAATAGCAACCCATTTTTGGGTGTAGGCCGAAGGCAAATAACACACGTCACTAAGTTAGCCAGGTTATATATGCAGTGTATGTATGTTTTGTGTGAAGTATTGTTCTTCGCTACATTTTAAATACACCTGTAACTGAGTAAAAAGAAGTGCAAGAGCAGCAGCTTCATTATGAATTGTAAGGTGTGTTTGCCCAGAGACACCGAACCAGACCGAACTAGTAGCTTACAATTGTTGTTTACATACAATTAGACTTCACACAACAGCTGCAGCAGCCTCTTGACACTGTTTTGACCTGACCTTTCTTTTCTCCGGAGATGGAAGAATTTTGAAAGTTGCGCTGCGCTGCTGACAGCCTCTAGCAGCAGCACATGGATCATGTGTAAAATCAGGAGCATCAGGCTTCACCGGCCGTCAACAGCGTAGAAGGTCAACCGGAGAGGGACCGGAGTTTGGAGTGTACGAGCCCAGGGAGAGGAGGTCGCTGAGTGACCCGCCGTGCTGCAGACGGTTGGTGATCGTTCCCTCTGGCTGGATGAAGCCTGATGCTCCTGATGTTACGCATGATCCATGATGACACAGAAAAATGGAAATGAATGGCAAGGGGAGCTCATATCTTATTAAGGCTCCCCCGTGGTTCACAACCTGCTTGTACCATTGCATTGGTATAGTTAAAAAGACCTTTTCATAGTTTGGTAAGAGACTGCTCAAATTAGCCAAAAAGACAGCGGTGCCTGACATTGTGTTGGTTGGCACGAGCAATCTGCTGGTAACTAGTTATTAATTATGCTAACGCTTATGTCCCATTAAAATTACCTTCTCATTATAACATAAAAGGTCTCTAACGTTGTTTTGCAACAATGCTCTGGCAAAGTATCTGTCTAACTAACGAACTAATATCAAAAGCTCCATATGGCTTTGTGCCCTTAATTAAATAAGTAAAATAGAATAAATAAGATATTAAATCTGTTTAAATAAGTTCTTATAGGAGGTTAAAGTACCTAAGTAAGGTTTACTCTGAGTAAATTTCAAATGAGCTACTTTTTACTTTTACTTTAGTAGATTTTTATGCCAGTAATTTTACTTGTACTTAAGTTAAAGTACAATATTTTAGTACAACATCTGTGCATGTGTGTACATGCCAGTGAAGCAATATGCATTCCTGTCAGTGATTTCACATTATTCCACTGATCTACAGGTGGCGGAAACACACCAAGGTAGGCGAAGAAGAAGGTAGCTGTTAGAAAACATGTATGTAAACAAATGTTAAAATGTTTTAATGCTTAGGAAATGCATTCATCACATTTGATAGACCTCAAGGATTCACACAATGTGCATTGGGGAGTAACACTGAATGAAAACTCAACAGAGCACCTTTAATCTTCAAATAAGTCTTCATTATTGTCAGTTGAAAAAGAGTAAATGTATGGTCTAACATATTAGTGACATACAACATACAGCAGTATTCTCGTGGAAGATAAAAGAAATGTTTCTGAAGTTTTGTTCATTTAATGGATTTTCTGCGTGTTCTTTGCATAACTTATATCACAAACAGAAGAGCAGAGAGGGCAAACGGTGTACATAACCTCAGCTCAGGCCTGGAGTGCTCTGACACATAGAAAAACAGGCTTAAAACTAAATGTGCTTACCAGAGAAAGTGAACAGCCGACTCCTAATAAGATTTTTAAATTTCAATTAAATTTACACAGTGCCATGGGTACGAGTCACTCTAGCCTGATTGACAGGTCGCCATGATAATGACTTGTCAATGACAGATAATCTCTCCCTGAAGCATACTCAGATTCATGGTCTATTTTCCTCTAAACGGGATCATAAATTACTAAATGAACATCATGTTGTTTTGAAGAAGACTTGAAACTAGCGATTGAGACCATAAACTCATTATGAAAGTGTTCACTGAGGTAATAAATCAGCTGAGAAGTAGGGTCATTTTACCATTATTTCTAATGGAGCTGGACTTCTTTTTTGAAACCAGAAGAATCACCCCCTGCTGGCCGTTCAAAAGATTGCAGGTTTATGGGACTTCGCATTGGATTCACGTCTTAGACCGGAAGATTCACAAAAATGTACCTTTATAATTATTAATTTAGCTGACACTTTTATCCAAAGCGACTAACAATTGCTATATATATCACAAATTGCCCACCTTTGGAGCAACCAGGGGTTAAGTGTCTTTCTTAGAGACACATTGGTGGATGTGTCACATTAGAAATTGAACCCGGGTGTCTCACACCAAAGGCATGTGTCTTACCCACTGGGTCACCGCATCCCCAAATGTCCCGTTGGCGGCCATCACTGATTTTCTGCATCATTTGCCTGTACCTTAAGCTTGTTAAAAGTACAGTACCCTTTGCTGTCAGCAATGATTCTGTACCTTTAAAATTAAATAAAGGTGCGCGGTTAACACCTTAAGGACCATTTTCGTACCTTACAGGGTACTTTTTTGACAAATGCACCTTTAGGAAACATAAATGACACCCCTATTTTTCTGTGTACAAATGAACATTAAAGGAATGAGTTTATGTAGCCTATTATGTGGGCCTGCCAAACAAAAACTATACTACTAGTAGTTAGTACTACTACTAGTACTAACAATAATAATTCCAAATGCTGCTTTTGAATGCATCTAATTCTACATGACTGTCGAAAACGAGGTCTTGCAACTTTGAGATTTCACAATAATGTTGCACATTTGAAAGAGGATGTAAATGCTCTGTACTTGTATAGCGTCTTTCTAGTCTTTTCGACCACTCAAAGCGCTTTTACACTACATCTGCATTCACTAGTCACACACATTCAAACGGAAACTAACATTCACACACTGGCGGAACAGCCTCCAGGGGCAATTCGGGGTTCATTATCTTGCCCAAGGACACTTCGACATGCAACCAGGGGGAGATAACTTTGTCTGGCAGGAAGCCGTGTTGGATTCTTATTCAGCTCACATTTATTCACGTCTCCTCTGGTTTAATAATTTCTGACGCACCAACTGTAACTACAGATAAGCGGGTCCCAGAAATATTTATAATACATTAAACACTATAGTCTACCGTTCATTAACGTTAGCGCTCTGCCACTGATAAACATGGCATTAGCTAGTTTTGTAGTTCTTTGTAATTTAGCTAAAGGCTGCTGTAAGTGATGTTAGAGAATATTAGAGGTGACGAACTAGGGAGAAATGATAGGACTGTTCACTAGAATTGCCCGAGTGTTTCAGATATAAATCTAGAATCAAGTCTGTCAGCAGCGTAGCAACAGCATCCACCACAGACCTACTGTAACGCTAAACTGCTGTTTTCAGGAGAGGAGAAGTGATGGGGGCTATTTTATTATTATTTAAGTCATCTATTTAACGTGACGAATAATCAACTCTCCCCTAACAGCCCTCTCCCTTCCTGGTTCTGCATGCTCCAGTAGACTCCGGTCAGCTGACTGGTTTGTTTTGTGATGGGCAGTGTTATCAACAGGGGAATTGCACATTGCCCTCCGGTGGGCAAACTTTGCAACACTGACATGACATTAATGAAGGATCCGACTCTCTGTTCCTTTTTAATAGTCATAAATCGGCTGTTATAAACAGCAATTAATTTACGTGCAATTAGCTCATATCGACCGATAATATCTGCACAACGAATAAAATCGGTCAGGCTCTACACTGTATCATTTATTTTTCAGTTTGACTGAGCTTGACTGTGGCTGTAAAAATCCATGTGCAGACCAGTGTGTACTGTGTGTTTTCACCTTGATGCGGCTGACAGCCTCCTGCGCCTGCATCATGCGGATGTTTTTAGACGGTGTCTTGTCTGACAGCAGCTGGGTGGAGCCCAGGTAGTTGGCTGCGAATATGATCCCATCGATCAAGTCCTCTGGGTCACATGGGCCTGGGACTGGAGGGAGGAGAGTGGTTCAGTCTCACAATACAACACACACTGAGATTAATAAAGTAACATGTAGTATACTCATTTTGAGCAAGAAGTTGTACCAATTTATAATAGTAATACTGCTTAAATGTTGATTATAACTTACTGTGAATCCTATTATTTAGTTATGATGAAGTATATAAATGTTGGTAATCTATTTATAAATACTGATGGGTTTCTCCCATTTTTAATAAGTCATTAACTGCAGTTGTTGTTGCTCCTTGACTTTGTGCCTCCAGCACAAATAGTGGCAATTACTGGCCTTTTTTAATACAATCTATGACATAAATTCCATCATGTCAGAGCAGGAGCACATGGCAGACGAGAGTGAGACACTCTACCCGCACCCAAAAAAATTTGCTTGCCGGTGTGGTAGTTTTTCGGATTCCGAACAAGTTTGCAGGAAGTGCCATCAACCATAACCACAAAAGGGGCAAAACCGCAAAAGGAGGAACTACCAGAAATCTTTTCACCCACCTTCGCTTCCATCATAATCCTGTATCATCAACATCGACTCCAGGTACACTGCCAAGGCATCATCACAACACCCACGTTTTCTTACTGAAAGAGGAAAAATGGCCTCTCGGTTCTGGTTCCAGAAACATTTGAACAGAATCCTCTGCATTTCAGGCATATCCCCAGTATTTAACCCATTCTTTCCTCATCGGCGGCCAGACTAGGCATTTCTGATTAAACCATTCAGGTCCTCGGCCGCTGGTCATCCAAAGTACTGCAACACTCAGGAGCAGAAGGTGTGGAGTTTGAATCGTACACCTGTTAGAGAGTAAAGTGTCCTAAGGCAAGACCAGGGAGGACAGAAATCTCCAATGGAACAGAAGGCAAATGCTTGTTTGATCAAGATTTTCAGTATGAAAATAGATAGAAAAATGATCAAATCAAAATATGCAAGAGATCCTGTTAAAAAACTATAATAACAAATATGTTGAATACATAACAGTAATAGGCTAATTATTATAATATGTAATATTTTTTCTTGCTGAAAGGTTGGCACCTTCTGATATAACTTTATTATGTATGTACCATTTCTCACAAAAGTACACCCCTCACATTTTTGTAAATGACAATGACTTTTCATGACAACACTGAAGAAATGACACTTTGCTACAATGTAAAGTAGTGAGTGTATTGCTTGCAGTGTATCTGCTGTCCCCTCAAACTAACACACAGCCATTCATGTCTACACTGCTGGCAACAACAGTGAGGACACCCCTAAGTGAAAATGTCCAAATTGGGCCCAAAGTATCAATATTTTGTGTTGCCACCATTATTTTCCAGCACTGCCTTAACCCTCTTGGGCATTCAGCAGAGCTTCACAGGTGAGGGGTGTAATCACTTTTGTGATATACATATATATGCATTCATTCATTCAAGGAGATATGGATTCTGTAAACATAAGCTGCTTTATGATTGGTCTTTACAGCCATTTGCAGGGGCCAACTTTTTACATGTTTGCAGTTGTAGCCATATTACTTCATTGGTCCACTTTGTATGACAAATGAAAACAAGCTGTGGTATGATCTGTCATAAGTCTGATGCAGAGTTACTTCTTTCAAATGTCAGCACAGACCTCTAAAGACAGACATCTTGTATAGTATCTGTCTGTGCTGTAGATAAATTTAAGGATGCGATTCCATCAGCTCTAAATTCATTATCAAGTCTAGAAAAGAAAAAAGAAAATACTAAAACAAAGACAGTTAGCTCCATGGTATAATACTGAGACTCGCAAATTAAAGCAAATATCGCCGAAACTTGAGAGGAATTGGCGTTCCACCAAACTGGAAAATTCTCGTTTAATTTGGCAAGATAAAACTTATAGGAAGGCCCTCCGTAATGCCAGAGCAGCGAACTACTCGTCATTAATAGAGGAAAATAAGAACAACCCCAGGTTTCTTTTCAGCACTGTAGCCAGGCTGACAGAGAGTCACAGCTCTATTGAGCCAAGTATTCCCATAGCTCTCAGTAGTTACGACTTCATGAGCTTCTTTAATGATAAAATTCTAACTATTAGAAACAAAATTCACCAAGACCTGCCCTCAACTGGCACCAACTTATCTCTAAACTCAGGAACCTTAGAAACAGCTGTAGAACCAGATATATGTTTACACTGCTTTGCTTCCCTCAATCTTTACCAACTAACTTCAATAATTTCTTCATCTAAACCATCAACCTGCCTCTTAGACCCCATCCCGACTAGGCTGCTTAAAGATGTTTTACCCTTAGTCAGCACTTCTATACTAGATATGATCAATCTATCTCTATCAACAGGCTATGTACCACAGTACTTTAAAGTAGCTGTAATTAAACCTCTTCTGCATCAAACGTCATACCTGCTTTAAAAGCATTAACATAAGCACTTCCTTGGCAGCTTGGTGGGAACTTCTCAAAATATCTGGGTCTTCACCTATCACATGCAGATTTACCCCAATCTGGAATAATCCTGACATCCTGCAAAATAAGAAAACACTAAATTCCCCACTGTGGTATGACAAAGGGATAAGACATCTAGAGCATGTAATGCAAGGCAGTAACTTTATTCCGTTCCAGGATCTAGTGGCACAATATGGAATTAGCCATAATAGATTTCTGGAATTTCAACAGTTTAAATCCATAATTCAGGCTAGATTTAAGGATAAAATAATGGACTTAGATTTACCTCCAATGATAACAGACTTTCTTAAACTCTCGCCTCCAAAACTGTTATCAAAAGTATACATGTTACTGTTAAAAACAGATAGTTCAATCTCTCTCCCATTCTTAAAGTGGGAAACAGATCTATCCATTAGTCCAGACCAAAACTTTTGAATGCAGATATGTTTAAATACCTTTAGAATGACTACAAATCCCAATCTACAACTTATACAGTATAAAACTCTCCATAGAACACACTATACTGGACAAAGGATGTTCAGAATGGGTCTTATGCAATCAAACATCTGCCGGAACTGCTCAGGTAACATATCTGATAGTTACATGCATGCTATGTGGCAATGTACACCTGTTCAAAAGTTCTGGCAGAAGATATGTGAAGACCTATCGATATGGCTAAGTTACCCCGTCCCAGTTTCCCCATCACTCTGCGTGCTGGGGGACCTAAGTGACATTAGTATAGAGGTTGACACATCATACATGCTTCTCACTGAGGTTGGTGGGGGGGGGTGCTTGTGGTGGGTTTCGGTCTGGTGGTGAACGTGCGGCGTGGGTGACGGTGTAGCCGTGGGTGGGGTCTGTGGTCTCTCTGGCTGCGGGGGGGATGGGGGCGGTTTGCGCCAGCTGGCATCTCTCCTGCACAGCGCATTACTTGGCTGTTGTGTGCCGCTAGTTAGATTGGTAGCGGGGTAGTGTTGATTGGCTCATCTGTAGGTCATTACTGGCTTGCGTGCTTGTCGGGGGTTGGGGGCATCGGGTGCGGGCCGGGACTGGGCTGGTGTGCGGCTCTGTCCTGTGTGCATGCTGTGCATCCTGATAATTGCATTTCGGTTCTCTGAGGGGTCTGGCGACTGGTTGTTGGAGGGGTGGGGGACCGGGAAGAAGGGGTTGACGGGGTGGGTTGGGGGTGCGGGCTGGTCCTTTTTGAGATGGTTGGGGGGTGTCTCCTCTGGATTTTAGTGCCCGGACTGGATGCTTGGTGGTTGTGCCGGGATCCTGTGTATGGAGGGATTGTGCTTTGGGGTGTGTCGATGGTTGCTTGCAGTTGCGTCGCTGCCCTCTGGAGTGTGGTCGTGTTGAGTCCTAGGGGCTATTTGCATCTGCTGACTCCCTAGGGCTGAGGGGCTGTTGCTGCTGTCGCGGGTGATTGCTGTCTCTTTTCTTTGGGGACGGTGGGGGTTTGTGTGTGGGATGCTTCGCTGCTAGGGAGGGAAGGGAGCGGGGGTGGGGGTCTTCTGGCCTGACCTGGCCTGAGTGGCATTGCCTCCTGGGTGTGGGCCGACCTTCGGATCTGGGCTGTTGGGCCGTTCTGTCCTTGGGTGGGGTCCTTGCTGCCCCGGACCTGCTCCCTTGGGGGCTGGTGGTGCTCGGAGTGCTGCTGATTGTGGGGGAGCGGTGAGGTGGGGGTTGGCAGTGGGGCTGCCGGAGGGGCCCCGGCGAGGACGGGGGATTGTTGGACTTTGGGTTGGGGCTGCACTGACCTGCCTCTGGAGTGTGTGGGGGTCTGGGGCACGGGGCTTTGGAGCCTCTGGGTCTGGGGCGGGTCTGCGCGCTGGGGGGGCTGGGCCCCCCTGGGCCCGTCCTGGGGATGGGCGGGGTTGTCACTGACTCTGGGGTGCTACCGGTGCTAGAGGGGCTCTTGCTATAAGCCCTGGGCTGGAGGGACCTGGCGTCCTCCTGCTTAGGGGGGTGGGGGACGGGACTGAATAAATGATGGGGCCAGTCAGGAATCTGGTCTTCTAGCCTCCCTATGACCTCCTTCACCTTTCCCCCTTTGGTCATGTCTCACAACATACACCCTTAGGATCCTGGGGGCGGGCAGCCTGCAGGGCGTTTGGGGGATGGGGCTGCTTTATTGCGGCCTCGCACTTCTTCCTCCCTCACTGCCTGCCCCTCAATTTTAATTACACATTAGACACAGAGGGCTTGGGGGGTGGGAGAGGCACGATGGGAGGCTCCACTACCTGACAGTTGTGGGGTGCCTGTGTCACAACTACCCTCCAATTTTAGTTGCACCTTAGTTACCACACACCTTATCTTTACTCCACCATACAACACTTCACAATCCATGACATGCATCCAACACAAAACAATACATTTACAGAGGCAGGCAGAGGGGTTGAAGGAGTGGGAGAGATTCTCATTGGCCTCGTGTCCTACCCCTGGAGCCCCGGGCGTTGGGGGTGCTGTGGGGTTGGTGGCGGCCTTGCCTGATGTGGGGTGGGCTGGGGGGGGTCGGGGCTCCCCTGGCGTGGGGGACCGCCCTTGGCCTAGGGTTCTGCGGACTCGGGCTTGTGGCC